GAATTTACAAATGAAGAGTTCCTTTGCAAAAAACAGAAATCTCCATTGTGAAACGTTGTAAATAAGTTGTCGATTACTGGTAGTAAATTTGAAATCCTTTGCTCAGGTAGGGCTGAAACTTCATTTGTATAGCAGTAAAAAAAACGTCTGGTTATTCACAAAATTACTAAGAATCCAATGTTTTTTTTCTAATGGCAATTTTTTCTGTTTTTGCAAATTAACTTTTCGGTTTTGTTAGTTATAAAAGAGTTTATCCAACCGTTTTAGCGCTCGGTAATCACAGGGACACAATGAGAAGGGGCGGGTTATTTGGTTACAGTGTTAGTCTTTCAATCGAGGCTGCAGGAAACTCGAAAAAAAAGTGTATGTAGATTTAGATTGTTTTAGTCGGAAGGAGGGGTTTAGTTTAAGGTTAGTGGAGGTTTAGGGTGTACTCAAGTTTGGTGAAAGTTAGGGTTAGGTTAATAAAGCAGTTGGTAAGGTGGAATAATGGGAAAAATCATCAAGAATGGGTATAAGGAAAGTAAAGTATAAGTAATTCAAAGTTAAAAATAGGGGTTATTATGTTTTGGGAAGGTTTATTAATAGCCTACACTGCAAAAAATGATAACATATAAGGTAAAAAAGGCTTCAATCAAGTGTTTTATCTGAATTTGAGCACATTTTGACAAGAGTTGCCAATGAAACAAGCAAAAATATATTCTAATTTGCAACAGCACTCGAAATAAAAATAAACGGCTTGTTCCATTGGCAAATCTTGTTTTAAGACACTCAAAATGTACTCAAATTAAGATAAAAACCACTTGATTCAAGCATTTATTACCTCATGTTTTATCATTTTTTGCAGTGTATACATCTTTGATCAAGCATAAATACAAGATGTTGGCCCTTAGTGTAATAATAATATGCTTGATGAAGACCCTAATGCCTTCATCTTTTAAGTCGGACCGAGCCAGACGGCGTTGAGATACGGTGACAAATCCACCTGTGTGGGCAAACAGCCGAGTGACCGTAAGCCGCTCTTTAAAGCTTGGGTCTGCCAGAGGTTGATCAGCTTACGATGACAATGACCTGGAAATACCTCCATGCCACTGACCTCCTCACATTATCAAACACAACATTATTCCCGGCTCTGAAAGCTCCAGCTGTTGGTGCGACAAGCCTCCGATTATACTGAAAATGTGACTGAAGGACGTCTGTGTTTTGGCTCAGGGCAGTGGGAGGGTGTTGTCCATCTGCGACGATCGGCTCCATGTCGGAGTGACCAGCGCTGGGAGGGCGTCTGGCTGACCTTCTCCACACGGCAGACCCCCTCTTACAGCCGCGGGGGTCACAGCAGGACCAGGCATCAGCCTGGATGAGCTGCCACACGGAGAGGCAGCTACCCCCGCGGTGCTGCTTTGATGTCCGCAAATTTACAGTTTCTTTCTACTTTAACTCATCGACTGCCATAGAAGGATTTGTCTGAGACGGTGATTTCTGTCACACTTCCCTCTGTTCGACTGAAGATTATAGGAGAACAATACTAGCTAGAAACAAACTTATTTTTGCTGATGAAAGTTGACAGTCCAGTCTTTCAGAATCTGGTTTTGTATTTCACATCGTCATAGTACTAATATTCTGTGGGTCTTGAGAATCAGTGAAATCATCAAAAACGGCTGAGAGTCAATGAATTAAAAAGGAGTAAGCAGTGAAGATTCTATCAAAAAAATTTAATAGAAAAGGGGATGCTAACAAGTGTTTTTGTCATTTTCTACAGCGTGAGAGGGGTTTTCCAAGTGTTTTCTACCCATCAGCTCGCCGTCTCACACGTGTGCTCTTAATCAGTTGTGGCTGACAAGGCCAGCACGAGCTCCGGGTCTGCAGCCACAGGGACTGGGGATGAAATGTCAGGCTCCCTCCACACCTCCAGAGGAGCTCCTCAGGGGACTTCACGCAAATATCACTGCCCTCGCCATCACAGCACGTTCAGCCACATAAGTAAGTAGTCAGGCAGCTGTCCCCGATCTAACAGCCGCACAGTGCTCTCAGGCTATGGATTAAAAAGTGCTAATGTCGTCATTCATCTCCAGGGAAAGCTCAGGTGCTGTATTAAAATCACACAGGAAGTGGCGTGAGGAAAAAGAATGGATCGATCCGTTCCAAATTTTGTTTTAATCCTGATGTTTTCATGAAGCTAAAATCTTTGCTCTTCTCTACCATTTAAAAACAAAGAAGAAAATGGGCAGAAATCCAGAATTACTGCAAAGAAAAACATCAAATGCAACCTCTCACATGGAGCCTCGGTAATGAAACAAGGAGAAGATATTTCCTCATGTGGTGCTGCGAAAACACAGTCTGACAGTCACATATTTCCATCTGAAAACAGACGGCTCAAAGCTCAGAGGAGGTTGAAAATGCAGCCAAAGAGACACAGCGACATGTGGCCCCCAAAAAAACAAAAGTATCCGACTAATACAGAGACGTGAATAGAGGCTGTTTTTAGAAATAACGGAACATTCTTAAATTTCCAAGGATATTTTTGGACTGCACAGCGATGATGTGAAATGCAAGTGCTAACGCTGCGCGGAAAAATGACCCATTACGAGCAAAATATAGCACCAGAGGCTTCAAAATACGAGAGAATGTTCTGTAAAGAAATAATTGCCTTGGAGTCCTACAGAGTCCAATTATTTTTGCAAAGCCGGGATAAGAAGCACGGCACGGACGTCTGACGCAGGATAAAGGTATATTTGAGGAGAAAGATATGGTTTTTAGTGAGATTTTTTAGGTGTTTTTCATCGTGCCGAGCTCTTAATGTGGCAGATACTGAAAGAATGGCATAAAACCGATACATTTTGTGTCTTAACCAAACCAGCCAAAGCACGGCAGACTTATTTAACTGTCTACTTGACTACTTTACATTACTGTCTACTTTACATTGCCGTCTACTTTACTACTTTACATTACTGTCTACTTTACATTGCCGTCTACTTTACTACTTTACATTACTGTCTACTTTACTACTTTACATTACTGTCTACTTTACTACTTTACATTACTGTCTACTTTACTACTTTACACTACTGTCAATTTTACTACTTTACATTACTGTCTACTTTACTACTTTACACTACTGTCAATTTTACTACTTTACATTACTGTCTGCTTTACTACTTTACACTACTGTCTATTTTACTACTTTACATTACTGTCTACTTTACTAGTTTACATTACTGTCTACTTTACACTACTGTCTATTTTACTACTTTACTTTACTGTCTACTTTACTAGTTTACATTACTGTCTGCTTTACTACTTTACACTACTGTCTACTTTACTACTTTACATTACTGTCTACTTTACATTGCTGTCTACTTTACTACTTTACTGTCTACTTTACTACTTTACACTACTGTCAATTTTACTACTTTACATTACTGTCTGCTTTACTACTTTACACTACTGTCTATTTTACTACTTTACATTACTGTCTACTTTACTAGTTTACATTACTGTCTACTTTACTACTTTACACTACTGTCAATTTTACTACTTTACATTACTGTCTGCTTTACTACTTTACTAGTTTACATTAATGTCTTATTTCATGGAGATAATGTCATTTTTTACCGGTTGTGTTTGGCTATTTACCGTCACGCAAACGGCCTCTGTCCTGAGAGAATATTTGACCTTGGAGCACGTTCTAAAGAAGGAAAGTTGTGTTGGGAAAGTGTGCGTGAACACAAAACAAAACAAGGTGAAAGAATGTGTTAAATCAAAGAAATGGAGGAGCTTAAGGGCAAGGAGAGAGCATGGGATACATGCATATTTTGGAAAGTAGTTGAAATATGCCATCTGCTTCAAGGAGAGTGGGTGGGCTGCTGGACTAAAGCAATAGACTTACCAATGGTATCTGCAAAAATGAGAGTACAAGAAAAATAAATAATTAAGTTTAGTCTTGTGTGTATTTTTAGTTTTAAGTGTGATTTGGAGTTTCCTATTTTAGGTTTTAGTGTTATCCATTCTGGCCGAGTGAAATGTCTTGAATACTCTGATGTTTTTGGAAATGTATCAGAGTTTCAGACATAGACATGAAGACAGACAAAAGAACAGAGCAAGCCAGAGCTTTAACAGGGCAAAGACAGATTCAAAAAACACATACATAAAAGTAATTTACACAAATATTCTGTGGATATTCCTGTGGCTCAGAGAATAGACTTCAAGGCAGCACTGCTTGTTACAAGTCTCTCCATGGCCTCGCACCAAAATATATTAGTGACATGTTAGTCCCATATGAACCGAGCCGGACTCTGAGGAGCACAGGGACTGGACTCCTGTTAGTGCCCAGAGTCAGGACTAAACATGGGGAGGCTGCTTTTCAGATTCATGCTGCTAAAATCTGGAACATTCTTCCTGAAGATGTGAGACAGGCCTCCTCGCTGACAATGTTTAAAACCAGGTTAAAGACAGTTCTGTTTAGCTGTGCATACAACTGAGGGATTTTATATTTTTATCTTTCTTCTTAATGTTCTGTGATTATTTATGATTTTATGCTATTTTGTCTTGTTCAGCACTTTGAGTTGCCTTGTGTGTGAATTGTGCTATACAAATAAACGTGCCTTGCCTAAAGTAGAATACATGAGTTTATGGCCCCCAGTAAGTCAGCATCTATGAGTGTCTTCTAGCCAACAAATGAAATACTCACTCACTAATTTTTCCAACTGGTGACAAGTTAGATTGACCTAAAATATCTGGCCCTCTTTGCCGAGGGCTCACTCTTAATTAGCGACATAATTAGGCTCTGCTATCCTGGACGTCTGCGGGGCTTAATCAATGGGAACAAGACAACACATCCGCCGCCGCGCTCCGTCACCAGAATATAGACTTTGTGTTTGCTTCCTGCTATGACCCACTGCTGAGAATCGTTCGCTGTTGCTTTGATTGCACAATACAAGCGTCAACACAAGTTTCTGCCGTTTCCATTATGCAGAAAATGTGAGAATGTGTGAAGGTCTTACCTGAACGTAGCTGTTTGATTCGCCCATTACTGGCGCTAGGGTCAATGGGCAGGAAGTCCTTGTACCACGTGATCTCGGGGTCAGGGTTGCCGCTGGCCGCACAGAGCATGGTGGCCGTGCGGGTTCGCTCCACTACTTTGAGCTGAGGTCCCATGTCGATGTTGGGGAACCCTTGAGGCAGCAGGTCCTCTGGAACACACACAGAGGATCGTAATGTTATGCTTTATATCCATAGATCCATGAGAATAATACTGAGAACAAGAGACACTTCTGTTATTCCTGATTTAAAAAGGTTCATTTTGTCTTCAGTTACTCCCTTTAGTCAACCATTGTAAGGAAATACCATTCATTCATAAATGTAGTTTTGTTTAGGATTTAGTTTGTGGAAAAACGCACATTGTTAAATTATTTCACATTGCTGAGGTACAAATACACCATTATCAGTACACATAATAAAGACAAGGTCTGTGAGTTATTTGTCAAATGTCTCCGCAACACCAGGTGAGCTATTCATTTAGAACAGCACTTCTAGTACAGCAAAGATAAACAAACCCTAAATATATAAAAGAAGATGTGCTGTACGTGTGTAGCTGCTTCTTTCTGAGCTTATGCCCTGACACTGATGAAGAGCATGTATATTAAACACTGATGAAGAGCATGTATATTACTGCCATTGTTCCTCTAAGAGCCTCATGAGGTTGACTCTCGAAGGCCAATTAGTGCAATGGGTCACAGTGAACTGACGGCCTCAGAGCGGCCGCTGCAGTGACTCAGAGAGGATCAGATCCGAGGGGGAACTACCCACGGCTCTAATGTGCATCACAAGCCCAAGGTCAGCCTGGCTCTGAGGACACTGAGTGACCAAGATGCCGGCCGGTGGCACCGCTTAGGTCACTCATCTGGGGAGTGGTGACCTCATGTCCCCGCTGCTGCACAGAGCATTGTTGTCACCCAGGGAGTGATAAATTAAGGATAATTAGAGCAATAATCGTGGATTTAGAAATGTTAGACTATGGTGACAAGGTCAGTGACAAAGAGTATAATTTTAGACTAAACAGTAAAATATATATCTGGTTTCACACATCAAGCCAAACCCGTGTGTCTTCATTCAGAAATGATAAAGGAGGAGGTCCAGTCTGATTTAACTAAAACTGACATCTGCAAAGCACATGAATATTTCATAACTGGCTTCAAAGAAGCTCCGGCATTTACAGTTTTAGGCTCTGTGCTGTATCCTCTTTATCAAATATTCTGAATAATTCCTTGTATAATCACTTTGGAACCTGCAGCTTTGATTTAGAACATACACCAACTGAATCAACAGATCTGGGATCTGTGCTCGCAACGTATGCAAACAATGTAGGCTCATTTGTTTAATGATTTTCAAATTGCTTCCTAAAAGTATAGAGACATGGAATCGCATTGCAAAGGTCAAACATCATGTGCAAGTGGCTTTGTGACAAACAAAAGTGTGCCGTGCGATAGTGCTGAATGAAGAGCTAGTAAAAGCCTTTAAAGATAATGCAGAGGCTGATGCTATCTGTGCAGCTGCTCCGGCCTGATACAGCACCAATGCTTTCCTGAATAAATGGGAACTACGCTGCTTACTTACTTCTACAAGAATAGACTCTGATAGCATCTCTTTCCCCTGAAGCTTACAGGCTCCGTCGATAAAGGCGCCCATGCAAAAATAAATAGATCACTCATCGGGGGAGTGTTACTTCGGGGTTAGCTATAGCCTGTCGGGGAAGGAGAGGAGGCGAGCAATGACATGAGGCTGATAGGATCCAGGAATTCCCAAAGGGCCGCTTCCCACATAATGCTCAAGCAATTGCTTTTGTGATATGGACCAGGCGTTCACTGCAATGACAAATCTTTACAGGGCCAGGAAGACCTCATGCTTGACTGCCATTGGTCAATAAAGTCAGAGTACATTTTACCAGCAGCCGATTTAGTCCCTATGTCAATTAGAAAAGACAACACTGAAGGGAATTGTGAGAAAAATAGAAAACAGGAAAAACAGAAAATGGTCATAAATATGCTAAATTAAAATGTTGAAATGACTTGATCAAAGACAGCACTTTAATAAGGGTATCTTTGATTGTGTATACTACAATAAAGCGTCCTTAATCCTTGCTACTCTCAAGCAGGCCCCAGGTGCAGAGGATTTTAATCTTCCAAACAACGTTGCCCAAGTCTCCTTTGTTGCGCCACCTTGGTTTCTTAAGTGCCCTAAAAAGCCTCCAGCTGCACAGACGAAAAACGGAAAAAATACTTAAATCTTGATAACGAACATTAGCCAGTTCCCGTATATACAGTGTGTGTTATTATTTGAATTATAGTTTTATACTTCTTACCTGTGTCACTTCATATCAGCTGTTCTCTGCTCTATTGTTTTGGAGAAGCCTGTTCTATTTAGGGTTTGAGCATTTTCAGAGGCCCTTGGACAACTATTATGATTCACTTACAGCATTGATAGTAATCTGTTCATATGGCTACCATATTCCAAAGCTTATTTTCTCACTATAACCACAAGTTATTTAAGGATTTAAGTTTAGCCCTTCTGTTTAGATATAACTTATTATATATCATTGGTACATCAGTGGACATTTACCTTCATCACCTTTGGTTTTGTTTAGAATTTAATATAACCACTTTTATCATTTTGGCCCCAGACCACGACGCCATGGGGTAGCCTGGTCTAACCACATCATCGTACTCTTTTCATTACAGTCTGGATTTGCTCCATTGACTCCGTGAACAGGTGGGAGGGGTTAACTCCTTTTGCAGATTGAAACAATTGGATCTGAGTTTACTGTGACGTATGTAATGAGCCCGATTATGTGATGCATTTAGCATTTAGCCTAGCTTTAGCCATCTCATTTGCCACTAACGGAGCCCGTGGGGAGTAGAGGCATAAAATTTTTGCTTGAATGACATTTACTAAACATTCCTCTTGCTCTGGCTTCAGTTTCTTGATATTTGGATGAAACCAGAACAGATTATTTTCCTATCGCATTCTACGACAAACTACAACATGGACCAGAGTTTACACATGGTAAGACCAGGCTAACACGGGGTTGTCTTGCATAGTTTTTCCAATGTGAATCTTGAATCTTGACCAGTTATTCCTTTTTGAATTCGGCTCCTGACTAAAAAAATGTGGACATCCCTGGGTTTTTATATGTATGCACTTTATCGTCTGCATGTATGTGTTATAAATTTATGAGTGGATCTTGACAAAAACTCATTTGTCGTCATACAAAAAAGTGGAAAACGTCATACGACAATAACATATCTCCCTTCATCACTAATGTACGACACACAGAGCACTTACTGTATATCATTTCCAGCCTGAACATTTTCATGCAATTTTTATTACAAACTGTTTCTCAGGGTAAGTTGTACATATTCCACAAACTTGTTCAGTTTAGTATATTATTATTATTATTGTCGCATACACATTATATGCTTATGTATGTATAAACTCCGGTCCATTTTTCTACATCATGGGTGTCAAGGGCTGGGCGCCGGATTAATTAAATTGGCCCCTGAGATGATATTTGATTAGTATTAGAACCCGCCGCACAGAGCCATGAGAAAATATTAGATTATTCATTTAATCATTAAATATAATACGGTACACAGTGTTAGATCTAGGTTCAACAGGTTTTATGCATAACTTTGATACATTTTAATAAACATTGAACCAGTCGACTTTTAGCAAATGTATTTTTTTGTCCTCTGATGTATTTGACTTTGACCTCATGTCTGGGTCTGATCCTAGTGGCTGCAGTGACCTCGGTTGAATCCCCTCCGACCAATTAGCTCCGTTAGTGGCAAAGGAGATGGCTAAAGCTAGGCTAAATGCTATAGCTAGGCTAAATGCTAAAGGCCTCACTCACTCGGGCTCATTACATACGTCACAGTAAACTCAGATCCAATTGTTTAAATCTGCAAAAGGAGTTAACCCCTCCCACCTGTTAACGGAGTCAATGGAGCAAATCCAGACCTTAGTACGAAATTAAATGAGTACAATGGTGTGGTAAGACCAGGCTAATGTACCTCCAGCCGATGTACATAACTAACTAAACAGCCATCCATTTAGAAAGGCCTTTTATTCTTCACGTGCACCAATACATCCAGTATCGAGAGTAGGACTCGCTGAGGGAGATTTTGCTAATGCCACGGGAATCACAGCCCCCACACATATTACCCATATTATTATTTTCACTTACTGAAATGATTTAATTTAATCAGCCGCATAATCAGGTTAACTGATTACTGTGTGTGCAACAGCGTAGATACCGGCTGTAAGTAGGGCTGTGTTAATACCACACCGCACTGGACAAGGACGAGGGAATAAGGAAAACTAGACGGTAAAAATACCATTCGCCGTAACAATGTGGCCACTTGCATGTATTTTAGTAACTTGCACCTTTAATTTTGAACTGTGTGTTTATATGTATTTTAGTAACTTTCACTTTTATTTTAATGTTTTTTTAGTAACCTGCAGTTTTAATTTGAACTGTGTATTATGATATAAGTGATATGATTGTGTTGTTGGAGGAAGAAGCAGGTGCAGCATCTTTTTAACTGCACATTGTCCTTAATAATAATAATAATAATGCATCAGTTTTATACAGAACTTTTTTGGACCCCCAAAGACGCTTTACATGTGATTATTCTTTCACTCCAAACACGGTGGTGATAAACTACTACTGTAGCCACAGCTGCCCTGGGGCACACTGACAAGAAGTGAGACAACCAGTCTGTGCCATTGGCCCCTCCCACCACCACCAACCATTCACACACACACCAGACTCATTCTAATGTGGGGGAAGTGTCTTACCTAAGGACACAACCACAGTTTAGCACAGTGGCACCTGCTGTTCCCAGAGGTTAAGTGTCTTGCCCAAGGACCCAACGACAGCAGACATCAGTGGGAGTCGGGGGAGAAAGTCTTGAGATGGGCTCGAACTCACGACCTTCAGGCTCAATGGCCAAATTTCTACCAACTGTCGCCCGATCAAACTGTGTCACTGTTTGATCGAGCCTGAATATAATAAACGTTCTTTTTTGAAAATCCTACCTGTATCTATGTTCACTTCACCTTAAAGGAGGTGTATATGGATTTCTCTATGATAAAATAGAATATACACAGATATTGTATTCGTTTTGACTCATTT